GTTCGCGGATATTCCTCTCCCTTAAGGGTGTCAGGTGGTGAAGTATCACAGAGGTCAACACTTTTGTGATTATCGGAACTAAACTAACCCTACGGTGGTTAGCGCAGTCGTTGCGTGGTCCCTTCTTGAAAATAGGGTCGATCATCGATTCACCCCAGGACAAAGGGATACGATCCTCCATCCAAATGCTGCGAAGTAAGCTAGTAATTGAGTCAACAAGAGAATCTCCGCCCACCTTGAAAAGAATAGGGAGAAGCCCATCAGGTCCCGCAGCCTTTCCTTTCTTTAATGATTGAATGCAGCTTCGTACTTCCGATTCTGATGGGGGCTCGCATGTTACCACCCATGGAGTTTCCGCAACAATGACCACATTAGCGCTAGGCCAATTGAACTGTTCACTAAAATACTCTGACCAGCGATCAAGTCGTTGTTCTTTATTGCGGATGCTTTGTCCACTCTTATCGCAAATTATCTCACTAACCGGCATGTGACGACCTCCGGTGCTGCGTATCAGGTGAAATAGTCTTTGACTATTCCCTGATGCAGAAGCTATCTCTATTTCACCCATTTGTTTGCGATATATTTTTTGCAATTGTTGATTGGGAGAACAAATGTAAACACTAGACCTATTGTGCCATAGTATACACCTTAGACTATCCATAAGTCAGTGTTTATTTACTTTTAGACTTTGATTTTACAATTGACGGTGCACAATTTTGGTGGTAAGAAGTTCTTCCGTAGTTAACCTTGGATGCTTTTGAAGTGCCCATTTTGCCTGTGTGGTTCCATTTGGAATTACTTTATTTGCAGCATTTCATGCACTCATGTTGCCAAAACTCAGTGAGAATATGTGATGGGGACATCAGGTACGCATGAGAATTCGGGGTAACCAATTGCAGGGATTCAGGAAGATGGGTGTTTTGGTGTCACCGCACACTTTGATGTTTTGTCTGCCTGTTATGTCACACGGGAAATGGACAGATAACGCAGGGCCCTCGCGCCACTGACTTCAATCCTGAGCCATGTCTCAGCGTGTCCAGTCAACGACAAGCCTCATGCCGTCCAGTCTTTAAGATGGGCTGCATCAACTATAGCCAATGCTAGAGTTAACTTCCCTATATCCTTATGCACATCCCTGTTCAGATCGTGTAAAGAGGTAAACGGTGGGCAAGCAAACGCTCTGCCCTGCCAGCGATCAGATAACGGCGATCGAATGCTCCACTTCTGCGCAGAGCACCATTTGTTTGTATGCATTACTAACTTTCGACACAGCTCTCGACGGATGGCAACGGTGCTCCTATCCAACTGGCACGCTAACCCAAGTAGACCAGAAAGCGTTGAGCTACCGTTCATGTTGTTCAGTACAAATTTGCAGGCAATATTGGACCACCTGCACTGAATCTAACCACGCATTCGTTTTGTTGCATTTGACTCTCCGACCTATGGCTGACGACAAAACCAGCTCACCATTGCCTGTCTGTCCCAGCAGTTCGTACACTGGATCAGAGCTAGTGTGAGAGCTAAGCCCGCCTCAACATGATGATGTGGGATTAGATGAGACGAGCAGTGCATTCCGCAGCGAATTTTGCTGGTGGATCTAAGCTGCAAGCCCGTCGGAGGCATTGGATATTTCATGATTCAGTAGACAAAACGACGACCTGCCAGGATCAAACTAGGGTTCGGTAGCGTCTGCAACAGCTCACGAAGATCCCCAAGGACATGAGAACTGGTTGACAACAGTAGCTAGCAAAATGGAAGTAGCAGGTACGTCAGGGAATAGTCGAAGACCGTTCCAACTAATACGCAATTCTATTTTTTATTTCACACTTGTCTGAGAACACACTGTGTGCCAGGCAAATCATAGTACAAAAATCTTCATAAAAAAGAATAAGCGTTCCACTATTGGCTTGTGGGCTGAATACTGCCAGGTTGCCCAGGCCAATCGAGGTGAATTTTCTTGTGGAATTCACAACCAGAGCCTTTGGCTAGCCAAAGCCTGATCCGCAAGGCAGCGGGGTGTTGTGTAAAAACCGCAGTCCATTGGGAGCCGGTGTTCAGTTCATCGGATCATATGTCCTTTGGATGGGGTCGAACGTCTGAGGTGTCCAATACACCTTGATGTCCAATCGAGTCGTATGCCTCCTCTGGGTTGGTTTGTAATCAGAGTTTTTAGCCCTTCGGATAGGGTCAGACGTCCAAGGTGCCGAATACACCTCGACCACTGCCGCGACCAAGGTGTGCGTGTGTTTCTTACACCTCTTCTTGGTTGGTTTGTAATCAGGGGTTTTAGCCAACTCCTCTAGGTGAACTGCCGACGGTTCATCAACCCGGTTATAACCCCGGATATCGGCTTTTCGTTCTCTCACTTTGGCGAGAAAACACCGCCACGAGAAGGCAGTGAGTAGGGCTTCCTCAGCAGAAGCTATTTGAGACGCTTGGTCTTATAGGAGCATTCCGCGAGGTGTAAGGAAATGGTGACCGGTCACAATCCCAAACATCCACCCCAACCATACTGAGGCTTTCGAAGGCCACACTGACAAAGGGGTTATTCTTCGGGAACCCTAACCAGAGTCTTTGACTCAAAAGTCTGACCCACAGGGCAATGGGGCGTAGATCCAACGCGGAAGTGAGACCAAAGCACCCTTGCGGGAAATTTTAGAGACCTGTATCGCAAGGTCTTTGGGTTTCGGTTCGGTGTATTGTTCGCTGGTGCGTTGGTTGGCGGTCCGCCCTTCGGGATTGGCCCTTAGTCTCATGCGCCCAATGGGACGGGCGAAACATGGACGGAAATACTTTATTGACTGGGGCTGCCCAGCTTAAGCGGACGGTATCTTTCCAATGAAGTGCGAACGCTTGTCCCACCGCCAGGAGGAAACCCCAGGTACCCCGCTCCTACGTTCGTCTAGTGGGATTTTTCGACCGGCAAACTGCCCCTCCCGTGTTTATTTGCTGGAATGACCTCTCCGGAAGCAGGAGTGGATGGTCAAAGGAAGCTAGGAGCTGGCCTTGCGAGGCTGGGCTTTGTCTGACCTCTACCCATTGACCTTTCAGACATGATTGAATCTACGGCTGAGAGGAACAATCTCGTATAGCTCACGATGTCATGGAGATAAGCATTCCGTCACACCACGTCAAAGTGCAATCTCGTCGTGATGGAAGTAACTGTGATGAATTTCAATAAGCCTGTGAAGACGAGTTTTACATTACGCATAGACGAAGATCCGTCAATCTATTCGTAATAGTGATTGTACAATCGGATTTACCTTTATTATCATGGTTTGCCAAATGTTAGAATCGCCTGTCTTTTCTCGGTTTGTTTTTGTCTTGCATTTTGTTCCACTAATTAGCACGATATCTCTTCACCTGGTTTCCCCTTCGTTACAGATTATGTGTTGCCTAGTAGCTATTCTTTTTTAGACGGGTGTATCATTAAATCGTTCCACTGCTGTTGAACCATAACAGTTCCGTAAGGTTATCTCTCTATAGAGATATCCATAGGTGTTTCCTCGAAGAGAAGTATCGGTCGGGTGCCTCATAATACAATATTTTATTGTTCATGACAACCGTCAAGTCACATATTTGCCCATTCGTAAAGGTGCTCAACGCAGGTGCTTACTTTTGCTTCAGATGAAAACGATGATGATGACGAGCGCTTGGCTCGACGTAAATCCCGGTTGCTGGAGCCTCATCCTGCGAGCGCTAACAGTCCTTGTGCTAATTCCAGCACAGCCAAACGAAGAGAAGCTGCTGCACCTCGCGGGATATCCCAAGCTCAAATAGGTGAACACTACGGAAATTGTATACGTCTAGCTGCAGAGAATAAGATTACAGCTAAAAATGCCTTCAATTTGCATCTCATCGATTACATGAGCGACATGTTAAAGAAAGAAGACTTTGCCAGCTTTCAGGTAAACCAGTTTTTCCTCTCATTTTTATCTATACATACTTTGTTTGCTGTCTTCTAATTGCTCATTCAGATGAAAAAGTGGATGAAAACTATAAGAGTCTCAGAGTAAACATGCAAAATGAAGTTATACTAAATTTGCAGAGAAATTGAGTAGGTTTACGACCGTCACTCCTTGCAACATATAGTCGAAGTTTTTTATTTGAAATACTTACAGGCCGTCACTTTCCTTGTCCCATAGGGTTTTTTGCAACTGGATCGATTCACCGATCAGAACGAGAAATATTTTAACTAACTTTCATTGCTACGGATGTCGAAATGCGAGATATGACAGTGTTTCAGGTTTGTGTTTGGAGGAATAAATTATGGACTCAGAAACAACGTGAGGTGGTAGGAAATTCGAAATACTACAAACTCTGAGGGTAAATAAATGACGTCGACATTCTAATCGACAGTTTTGGAGCACTAATTTGAATGACTACCTCCTGAAGTGAGTGTTGGGTGACAAGGTGAACAAAGGATGATATGGGCAATCAAATTTCTGCATCATTTGATACACCAAAGTCAAGTCTCCTCGATTTCGGCGAAACTAGGTGGGATACAACCCCAAAGGATGCAGTTCTTTTACTAGTCCCTTGACCGTCTTGGTGGCCATACATTGTGNTCCAAAATCTTACGATCACGTTGCGGCCATGGAATCCACGCTTGAATGGCTCACTCTGTGTGGCTAAGAAACGTGGGAACAACATAGGCTCAAATTTACCAAATACTCGCTTTCGCAAACCAGCATAACTTGCAGCTGTGGACGACGCTCTGGAACAGTTTAAAGAACAGCTTACGTCGTCTTGAACGATGACATCGAGATCTTTCTCATTCGAGGCATACGGAAGTTTTGATGTCTCAGGAAGTACGGAAAAGTGCTTCTGCCATTTCTGGTATGTACTTTCAACCTTCAGAGTGCAGATTGATGCTGCAGGAGTGGGTGTCGCCGCTCTGAAACTAAATTGCCAGAAATTAGTTATGGTTGATTGCTTTTCTTACTTGGGTA